GTGAGTAAGTTGTGTGTGTGTGTGCAAGTTGTGTGTGTGTGAGTAAGTTGTGTGTGTGTGCAAGTTGTGCGTGAGTAAGTTGTGTGTGTGCAAGTTGTGTGTGTGTGTGCAAGTTGTGTGTGTGCAAGTTGTGCGTGAGTAAGTTGTGTGTATGTGTCAGTTGTGTGTGAGGCGAGGCGGCGGGAGGCGAGGCGGCGGGAGGCGAGGCGGCGGGAGGCGGAACGGACGGAGGCGGCCGGGATGCAGAATCAAAAACAAGAACCCCACACAAAGATGTGGGGAATAAAAACAACTGGGATGAATGGATAACCTCATAACATGACCAATCTTAGATACCCTGCAAAAAACTGACATATTCTTAGCTGGTGAACGCAGATAATCCCATCGATACCACAAGACTATTTTGGATTAGTTTCTACCCATCCAAGATTATCCCACTAACATCCCATTAACATCCCATTAACATCCATTTATGGATAGCCTCATAAGCAGGATAATTGCAACCAACCAGGGCGGACTGGGGAGTTCATCGTCGTTCATCGTCATGCAGATTCCAGGTTTTTGGGGTGGATGGGGCAAGGAGCGCCAGAAAGGGATCCACTCGGCAGGCATTTCCTGGGCATCCCGTTTGTTTCCATCATCATCTTTCTCATCACCTTCATCCCCAGTCCCCCTCGCCTGCCGAAGCAAGTCTGCAGCCCGTTTTGCGTCCGCCTCCAACGTCTGCAGCACTTGCGAGGTGACTTCTGCCCTGCTTGCCAACCCATCTCCGGCTTTTCACGCTGTGTCTGGCTGTTTGATGTTTTCTATCACTGATCACCTCTGCAGGTTTCTCTGCGGCGGCTTACCCTGGAACTTGCCTCGCCGTGAGCAGCTCGATCTTTCTGACCGGTGGACATCTTGGAAAGCACTGCGTTACCTTCCCACCACCACCAGGGCCGGGCACGTTTTCTGTGACACTGGGCCAGATTTCCTTTTTTCGTCAACTCCTGAGGTCCCAGCCTAGGCCTTTCTGCATGTGGATGTCCTGCCAGTCACCACTCGTTGTGTGGTACCCCAGCAATGAAAATCGCCAAGTTGGTGCAAATATCTAGGTGAATTCTATGTTGTTTGGTAGAGAGAGATATATATATATATCTATCTATCTATCTATCTGTCTATCTATCTATCTATCTATCTATCTAACTATCTATCTATCTATCTATCTATCTATCTATCTATCTATCTATCTATCTATCTATCTATCTATCTATCTATCTATCTACATATATATATATATATATATACACATCTATATACTTCATGTGGTGAAATTCATTTGGTTTATGGTAGATATATCGAACTACTTCATGGAGCTTCTTTTTTTCACAACGAAACCACATCACCTTAGGAGGCACCTGCTGCTGCCATAATCTGCCATATCCCCCAAGGCAACGCCCAGAGTTGATCCTACAAATCAATACACAACAGATTACATAAACCTACAGGATGGGGCTGCCTTGTAAGTGGCTGAATTCTATGGTTTATGGTAGATATAACGAACTAGTTAATGGGGGTTATAATGGTTTATAAACCAACTTATAACTGGGGGGGGGCCATCCTGTAACCCTAAAATATATTACCCTCTGGTAAACATACAAAAAGCTATTTAAAATTGCCATTTATTTCGTGAGTTTTCCCAGCTATAAAATGGTGGACTTTTCTATAGTTACGTTAGTTTACCAGAGGGTAAAAATGAGGCTTTAAATCCCCAAATCCATTTGTTTAGGGCTAAATCCCACATTCCAACGTTATATTGGTGTGTATTCCTATGAAATATCGCACTATTTAAATCCCAGTGTAAAACCGTCAAAAAGTTACAGGCCTTAACAGTTGTAAGTGGCAGAAAAAAACTCATTTAAGACATGATTTACAACTGAGAAGGGCTAAAAACTGTATTAATTTGCAGTATCCCAAAGATTTTTAAGATCTTCAAAATTCCACAGTTTCCCCATTTTATTCGGTGACATTTCCACGAGATCCCCATGAAACCACAAGGGCACTACCCGTTTTTTTTCACAGCAGTCCTTTTCATAGGGCTGATGACAGTCATTCAGCTTCGGCTGCCTCAGCAGGGACAACCTATAGGACATAAAATCTGATTTGTTCGTATTCATTTTCTGTATTTCCCGATGCCTCCAATATGAATATATTTTTTAAAATATTATATCTACAATGTGAGGCCCCCGTTCGATAGCTAAGTTGGTGCAAATAACTCCCATTTCACTATGGTTTATGGTTCAATTATAGTTACTGGGGCTGATCAACAAACTTAGAACTGGGGGGCCTCACATTGTATATATACACACATATTAAAATATTAATGGCAAGATCGTTACAATCAGCCGAAACGGATCAACATGGTAACTTTGCGGATCATCAGTGTGTAACAGCGGAGACATTTTACCCACTTACGATCCTTCGCTCTACTGGCGATGTTATCACTCAACTTCCAAATCGGCATCTTGGGGAATTCCCCTGTACTTAGCTGACTTAGCTAAGTTTGTTGATTAGCAACAAACTATGGATTATCGATGTAAAATTCGTGGATAGATCTATACTTAATGGGCTTCAGAAAGCAACAGATAGTTGGGGCACCATCTCGTGATGTCTCAAGGTTAGCTGAATCCTTGGGAGGACATCCCTCTGGAATTCATTACTGAACTTGCTGACTATGCTGGGCTTAAAGGTTATACCCTCCGGCAATGAAACATGGCAAAATCTTGATGATTTTAACATCATCACGCACCCACCCCCTTCTCTTCCCGTTGCATGGTTCCCGTCACGTGAGGCCCCCCCCATCTAACGCCAGGTTTGTAAACCCGTGCCTTTTTTTCATCATGGCCAATCAGCCAGATACCCTGCCAAAAATATGAAAAAATGACAGAGTCTTAGCTGGTGAGTAAGTAGATAAGCCGATACTAAAAGACTATTTTGGATTAGATAAACTACCCATCTTTCAGATTGCCCTAGTACCCTAATCACTCTTAAACCAATAAGTATATACAGATATATACAGTAACCCCCAGAAAACGAAACCAACCAGCAGTTCTCCATTTAAGATCTGCCCCTCATAGTTCGTTATATCCCCCATCAAACCACAAGTTTAGCCTCAGTTCATGGATGGGACCATTGGACAATGGGATTCGAACCTCCATCGTTTGTTGCTTTTCATCGATGTTTCTTGGCAAACTTGGTAGACATTCTATGGTTTATGGTAGATACATTGCTGATATATTTATATTTACGATGGAAAATCACCATTTTTAATGGGTTGATTAGGGGGTTCTATCTATAGTTAATGGGGTTAATAAACCAACGTAAACATCACTGGGAGGGCACCATCCTGTGGGATATGGGGCCCCAACAAAAACTCTGGTCAAACATAAGGAACGTCCGCTCCAAGGTGCCAACGTCACCTTCCAAGGATCCAGGCTTAGCCACTTCTGTGTTCCAGCCAAGGGGTTGGCCTTTTGGAAGAGTTAAATCCACATAAAATAGTTCCCTTTGGTCCCCAATTGGATAGTTTTCTATCCCCATCTGGCTGGTGGTTTTTCGCCCTACCCCTCTGAAAAATATGACGAATTTCGTCAGTTGGGATGATTTTTCCATTCCCAACTGAATGGAAATTCATAAAAACCATGTTCCAAACCACCAACCAGGTTATATTCTATCCCCATTCTTTGTGAGGTAAATCCACACTATGTCACACTAGATCCCATCAAATCCCAGATTTCCAGGCTTGAATCATGATCTCTTTGATGGTTTGCTGCATGTTCTTCTGTGAAGATCCAAAGAAACCCCGTTGGTTGTTGGTCAAATCCCCTTTTTTTCCTATGTCTTTGCTGGTGAAAAATCCCCGTTTCAATGGATTTAACCACTATCAACTTATCAAACAGATCATACTTCAAGATGGTGACATCCCATTCTATGTCCATTATCAACAACTATTAACCACTATAAATCCCACCATTTTTCGAGGCTTCAATGAATCCATGCTTTTCTCCAAGGCACGCGGTGGACATCAGTCTACAGGCAGCATAGGGCATGGTCATCCAACAGCTCCTTAGTGTTAGTGCGGCGTCCTTATTTGGATTTCCGGGAAAGGAACACAATTTATTGGATGTACATAAACTATGGATATACATATTATTGGTTTATTGGATGTATAAAACTATTTTATTGGATATTTATTGGATGTATATACATAAACTAAAAAAAATACCCGATGGATCCAGCCAAGTACCTTCTCAGGAAGTACGATTGGGGTATGATAACTAGGGGGTGTCTTGTACCTTCTCAGACAGTGGCCATGGATCCATAGGGATATATATATATATTGATATACACACATATATATATATATATGGACATGGGTATATGTATATAAATAAATAAATATATATATATATATATTATATGGAAACTATATTATATAGGCAACCTGTGGAAAATCTGGGAACTATGGTGATTTAATAGGATCATAGATTGGATATATATATATATACATATATGTATGGAATTAAACAGAATCAACATGATATCGAGTTCTAGTTGGATTGATGCATTCTCTTTCTCGGATTTCTATCGATTTTGCATCGATTCAGATGGACATGGAATTCGCATGATATCTATTGGGGTTTATGGGATTTACCCTCTGGTAAATTATATAACATAGCTATGGAAAAGCACCATGTATAATGAAAAAAATCATTATAAATCACCATTTTCAATAGCAACCTGTTAAATTACCAGAGGTACATTGGCTGTTCATGGGCGTGTGAAAGATTTAAACCACTGAATACGGACATTGATGAGATATCACGTACGAGTAATACAAGGTGGTGGCCCCTGTTCTTTATCACTTGCGATTTGTTTACCTATTCACATGTATCACATAGATATATCTACCAAACACCCAACATTTAACTTACTAAACTAAACCAAATTTGGCTAACAAACTGAGACACCCCCCCTTGTGCTCTTTTAAACCCAAATCTAGCGGATCTTGCATTAAGTCCTTGGTTAAAATCCCAATTGGTCCAGGATCTTTACGCACAACAAACTGGGATTGTGTATATATATATATATATACATTATGTATACATATATTATGTATACATATGTAATTAAGCATTGAATGGCTATTGTTGCATGATTTGCACAATTTAGTTGTACACAACAGTACACACCGCTCTTGTTTCATTCATTGTGACCCTCGCAGTTGGACGACAGATCCCGGTAGACCACGCTGTGGGTGTAACTCGGTTGAACAAACAGTTGCTTTTACGAACCCCTTTTGGGATCTGGTTGGTGGTATACCTACCCCTCTAAAATATGATTTCGTCAGTTGCAATGATTATTCCCAAGATATGGAAAAATAGAAAATGTTCCAAGCCACCAACCAGTTGGGATAAACATGGACGAACATGTGCTGAGCATTTTTACGAAGAGGAATTGGGACAATGTCACAAACATGAACTTGTTTCAATAGGACCTATTGAATGGCCACCATCAAATCAAATTGGTACAAACAATTGCCCCACAATGATAAAGTTAGCTTCAAGCACCCATTAAGTATAGATTGATACATCCCCCATAAACCCTAGCTAATATAACCGAATTATCAGTCAATTTACTCTGGGGATTAACCCACAATTTGTATCTCATTTTCCAAGGGAAAAACATGGGCTTTCCATGGTGTTCCACATCTATATTAGCTTACCCCAGCGTAGCTAATTTTGCGAACATGCCAACTTGGCAAAAGGTACCCTACTCATCAATTGCGGCTACTCCCTTGTATAATCGACTGTCACCAACAACCAACCATCAAAGAATCATCATTTCTCAATTCCTCACTGCTCATTGTACTTGATTGTTAAATGTTTCAAATGCCCTTCGTTTTTTTATAGAACCCCAACATTTCCTGGTTGGTGGCATACCTAACCCTCTGAAACATGATGGAGTTCGTCAGTTGGGATCTGTGAAATTCCCAACTGAATGAAAAAAAACATGATCCAAACCACCAACCAGATATGGATGTACATCAATATTACTAAATCTATGTATATATATAATATATTTATACATATATATATATATTATACATATTCATTGGGATCTTTTAACCCTAGACTTCCAAGACGCAGAAGCCGCTTCCACCTTGAGGCCCCCTACTTCTTGTTTGCCGTCTGAATCGCGGCGACAAACCTGTCGCATGCAACCGTCGGAGGCACTGATTCTGGTGCTAATTGTAGGGAATGGATGGGAATGGGGGTTGCTGGGATTATTATTTGATAGTCATTGTGGATCATTCCATCATTCCCTACTAAGCACCAGTAAGAATTTGGAGAAAACAATGCTTCACAGAAACGAAACTGTTACTGCAACAAAAGGATGAGGTCTGCGACCTCCCAAAACACATGCAACACCGTTCGCCGCCATGTTCTTACATACTTTTAGTATGGTTCTGCTTGGTTTCGGACACTTAAGTCTAAGTTCCATGCCGGTTGATGTCTGCAGGTCAAATTCATATGGGAGTTCTTCGTTAGTGGGTAGATACGCAGGGTCAAAAAAAAAATGCAATCTCAACCCCGGATTTATAAATCCTGGTTTGTTAATGAGGGGTGGCCCCCGAGAAAGTGCTAATTGGCTGAAGTGGTACCACCCCCAACCCAGGGCTTCATGAGGGTAGGCTTTATGCCAAGGTTATCCATTTGTTTGGCATATTCACCAAGATTGATCGGCCGTCATCAATGTTACAGCTCAAGCAGAAAGCCGCACATGAGCTAACCCTACCATGTCTTTATCCACATATACAACCCAACTTTTAAAAGGTTATAAATAAGATTAAATAAGTATATAGATATACTCGGTTGTAAATAAATCGGTTTATGATAGATATACTCGGTTGTAATGCTCATATACTAGGGTTAATGGGGGTTATAAATAAGTCGGTTTATAATCCCCATGAACTATAGATATAACCCCCATAAACCCTAGTACTCTCCCACTTATAAATTGGTTATAAGTCCATTAACTATAATATGTAATTTACTCCTTGGAAACCAGGGTGATGTCACACAATGTGCAATTATAAAACATAGTGGACCCGGATGCCAAGGTGACAATCAAATGTGCTCCCATGTATGATAAAAGGGGCCATGCAAAGTGTATAAGCTGGTTCGTGGTTTTAACAATCTTGAAAAATATTAGTCAATGGGAAGAATTATCCCATATATTATGGAAAATAAAACATGTTTGAAACCACCAACCAGTAAGTGTGGGTTTTGACATGTTCATACTGTGTTAGGCAGAGCAGCGCGACTTTTGATCCTTAAAGAGCCTGCACAATCACAGGCAGTTGAGTTGTTGTGCACACTGATAAGAACAGATACTTCACCTGTCCAGCATGTCACACTGGTAAGAACAGATACTACACCTGTCCAGCTTGTAACCCTTTTGCACTCCCCCCACGACTTCGTCGTGTTAAAAAGGGGTCCGGGCTCAAGGCTCTTATGAAGATTGGCCAGTGATGCCAGATTGTTGTTAGGCTCTACTGGTCTTAAAATCTGAAAAACTACAGTGCGTAAAGACTCGCACTTTTTGGAATCAACCTCGGCACGTAAAAACTCATGCCTCAGCTGACTTGTTGGCAGTAAAGACTCTGCCAAAGGAAAAAATGCCCGGCTCTCAAAAGAGCATCTTTTCAAAATTGCGCTCCTTTCGGATCATGCCGTAGAGCTCGACGTCACTGACTGGGCCGGTGAATCGGATCTCACCGTAACCCTATCTGCAGACGCTTCTCTCACCCTCGTTGCAGCTTTCGATGCCGTCGTTGGCGGTCGCGGCACCGGTCGTAGACCCAAGTTCGCTGCAGCTTGAATCCCTTGTTCTGCACGAAGCTCGCCAGTCATCCGCAACATATGGGACAAAGTTGAACCCTGACCAGGGTTTCCCATCATCTGCTGTTGTGGTGGCTGCAGACTGCCACCTTGATCTCCACCATATCCTGCATGACCTTGTGGTCTTTGTTGCATCGGAGCAGCTATTGGTGGTTGTACTTGTGGAGGTCCAGGCACATAGGTCTGAGCTGCCCTCGGCATTGCCTTGCTAGGAGGTGGACCTGTTGGAGGTGGTCCCGCCATCACATGAGGTGGTGGGCCCGCTGGTGGTGGTCCCGGCATTGCATGGTGTACAGGAACTGCTGGTGGTTTGGCCATGCGGTCCATCCAGTTCTGCATGTTCTGTCGTTGAAACCACGCTGCAGGGGGAGGCTTTTTGCCAGGCTGAACCATTCCGTGCTCAAAAGGAACTCCCGGGTCAGCCTCCTCTTCTTCTGTGCCATCTCTTGTCAAGCCAGTCTTTGGCACAGCCATGACATTTCCCTGGAGCGCGAGTGAATGCGTCACTCCAGGAACCACTGCCCTGCGAAGCATCAAGCCCACCTGCGCAAAGTCCATCTCGACCTGCAATCCATTGAGCACACCATATCTGTAGGTCCGCATGGATCCAACCCAACTGGTTTGATCCCATTGAACCCAACGTCCATACGTCAAAGGAATGGTCTGGCCCTGCATCAGCGCTGTCATCACCTGCTGTACATGCTGCGCTGGCGGTGCTGATGCCATGCCAAAACTTGCCTTTGCCCGCATCTGTTGCCCCAAACTTCCTGGGACCATTGGCGCCATCTCATGCTCTGGGTTGTTGCGCGTTCGCCTTGGAGGCAGCGCATTCTCCACCTCTGTGTCCTGCTCCACATTGGCCTCTTCTTCAACGTTCTCTGGCTCTGCGTTGACCTCTTCCTCAACATTCGCTGGGTCACCCGCAGTGGTTGAAGTGATTGCCACCTCTGTTGCTGTGGTGGCTACTGGTGGGTCTGTCGCAGGCCCTTCGGCTCCACCATCATCACCTCCACCATCATCGCCATCGCCCTCGTCCTCTTCAGGGATGACCTCCATGTCATTCTCAGAGACCTCCTCCTCTGCAGTCTCGCCACCATCTTCATGCAAACCATCTGCAAAAGGCTCCAGGGCTTCACTGCCTTTAGCCTTGCCCTTCGCTGCATAGTGAGCCTGTAGCTCTCCAGCGGTGGCAGGTTTGCCTTTTCCAAGTTGTGCCACAGAGACACGACTTCTGCCACTCCCCTTCCCAGCTTGAGCTGGGGTGGTTCCACTTTCCGTCATCTCCTGGACGTCCGCGGCGTAGTCGACCGCAGCTGTAGCCGCCTGCACAGCCTGAGCCACCTCATTCGGGTCCTCGCTGTTGGTGTTCACCTCATCGGCTGTTTGCAGCGCTTGAACCGCTCTTGCATTGGCTGTGGCCAGGAGGATGCTGCGCCTTTGCTCACCCGGGGCATCACCTCTCCCCATCAGCACTGGAGCCGCTTGCGCTGACCCTTTTCCTCCTTGGTCACACGTGAAGAGCTGGCGTGGTCGACAGCCCTTGGCATATATCCTTTGCCAGGACAGGTTTGGACTGAGCACTCCATGGGTGATTGTTGACCCATCCTTGCCAGTCTCCACATCTTGCTTGTAGCCCCTGCCACGTCCCCGAAACCAGTATCCTGGGGGTCGCGCCCAAGCCATTCTTTGCCTCTTGACATCCAGGGTGGTACATGTCCTGCGTGGACTTTCTTCTTCATCCTCATCTTCATCATCCGGTGGAAGATCTGGCCCATGGTCTCGTTCTGGTTCACGTCGATTTCGACGATCTCGGCCAGGATCATCTCCATCTCCACCTGGTGGGGGCATAGCCATTGCACCATGCTTGCCCTCTCGTTGCAATTGCCTTGCCGTCTGTGGGCGTTGCTCCTCATCTGCAACCTCGGAGACCAACTCATAGCTCCCATCAGACCGCGTGTCATCCACCTGTTGCACAAGTGGTCTTGGAGGTCGCTCTTGGGGTTCAGGGTCTCGAAGACGTGGATCATAGTTGCGGATCGGCACGTACTCAAACCCAAAGCGACTACCCCTCATCATTCTTGTTCCCATTGCTGCTTGTCCACGTTGTTGGACTGGTCCAAGCGGTTGGGGTTCTGTTCCAGCCCAAATGGCTGAAGTTGTAGGGCTCAACATTGCTACCCTACCACGTTCAGACACCTTGCCAGTGCCCTTTCCTTTTTGGTCAAGCTGACCCTCCATCTGGCCTTGTTGGCCCTTGTAGTGGCCTCCTTGGCCTTTTCCATAGCCATGCTGGCCATCATCCTGGCCATTGTGGCCTTTTCCCTTGGTTGCCCTCGAAGCCGGCAGTGAAGAAGTTCCTGTTGCCGAACTCCCTGACGACCTCGCCGTGCTCTCCATGGCGTGTCGCCCGGCACCCAAAACCTCAGTTGGCGGCTCGAGCCCAAGGTCCTCAACAGAGAAGTCCTCAATCGGATCTCCTTCAAGTCCATGCCATTGCTCAGCACGACCAACCAAGTTGCAGTTGAAACCATGCCCATCCCCTTGGCGCCTCTTCGAAAGAGCTCGTTGTTGACGTCTCTTCCCATGGCTGACTTTGAGCGCCCGAAGTTGCGGCCCGTGGCAGCCCGAAGGGCAGTTGTCAGGGTTTTGAGATGATCTTTGTGGGGAGGAAACTTGATCCCTTTGAGGATAGTACTCAGCACTAGGACTACGCTCCATGTTTGAAACCCTAAAGTTTCTTTTCCCCTCCACATCGATCATCCCTTTTGGGAAAGGTTGCATGGCCTCCTTTTGGCTCTTGTTGGGCGGTTCATTTTCCCCGCCCTCTTCTTGCATGGTGGGTTCATTTGGGGCCCTCACCATGGTTTTCATCAACCTACGGGGTGGTTCATCTTCCCTACCCTCATGTCTCAACGCCGGTTCATTCGGTGCCCTGACGTTGGCTTCTTCCATGTCAGTTGGTTCATTTTCCCTAACTGACCATGGTGGGGAAGGTTCATTTTCCCTTTCCCTCTTTTTCATCATCCAACATGCAGCAACGATGAGGCCCAGACCAGTTTCTTGACACTGAGAGTCATCTGTCTCCATCAGCGTCTGGCCAGTTGAGAGAAGCCTCACTACTATCTCTTCATCCGCTCTCAACTCATCTTCTGCACGTCGTAGATCGTTGAGATCGTCCAGGTAGATGGAGTCCACAAAGTTGTCCATCTTTGGTCCTTGAAGCGGTTTCGTCGCTCCATCAGCTGGAAGCACCAAACCACTGACATGCCTCGCACACCAGCGCGAGAGCTCATCTTGAAACGCTTC